GCAAGAATCAGAAGCTGCTCCGGTTTGTGCAGGAAAGGGCGGTGCCTACATCAGTGGGCTTGGTGGAACAACGCATGTGCAGCAAGTACAAACAGGTGATATGGCTGGGAGAAGGGGAAAACTTCATAGTGGACCCCTTACTATATCAATGGCAGAGTCACCATCAGAAGCAAGAACCCACCCCACTGTGTCACTACAAGACGAAGGTGGGCATGAATCATCTGATAGCACAAATGGAGCTATTACCTTACAAATTGGCCTTTAGTAGGCTAAGCCAACTAAAAGGATCCTATGCTAATCAGCCTGATTGGTTTACTCTGTGGAAGGCATTACAAAAAGTACCCTGCCAGAAACAGGCGGGTCTAATGTGGTTACAGTCTCTGCAGGTGATACCATGTGCCCAGTGGCTTTCTTCCAAGGGAATGGATATATCCTCTGTCTGCTGCAGGTGTGATTGGGGATGGGAATCCAACTCCCATGTATGGATCCACTGTCCATTGGCAGACGAGATTTGGGTATGGTGGATACAGTATTGGGAGAGGTGGACAGAGGGCTCCTTCCAGTGGCCAGATGACTGGGTGTTGCACGCTACTCTCCCGGGTGCCTCCTCGGGATACATGGATGGATGGGGGTACGTAGCCTTAGTCTGCAGAGGAGTGATAATGAATATCATCTGGCAGGCGCGAAACTCAGCAATCTTCAAGAGAGAAAAGATCATGTCTCAGCAGCAGCAGCAGATGATTCGTAGCAATCTAAGGCTCATGGTCCTGTCGGATTGGAAAAGGTGTAGGGACCGCCAGGGCAAAGGTCGAGCCTGGTTTAACAGGACATGGGCACAGAAGAACCAGCTAGCTACTGTATCTCAAGAGGGCAAGCTGATACTGGACAGATGGTTTGCATGAACATTGTCCTACACTGGTGACCTATTTGACTACATATAACAGGATGTGCAGATAGGTAATTGTTTAGTTCAGCCGGCTTCTGTTGAGCTCAAGATTTCATCTTTGGAAAGCTTTAATTTTTTCGAGCTTAAAGTTTTACTTTTTTTGGAAAGTACATTGGTAGGAATGGGACTCTGGACCCAGTTTTCAGCAGGTTTCTGTTCTTGAGCCTTATCTGGGTAATGGCCCCAGACATTCCGGGTCGAATTGTGAGGTCCCCGGCCTCTTTCCTATGATTTTGAATATAAAATTGATATTCTTTCCAAATAAATAAATAAATAAACCGTAGGCAGAGAGGGAGAAGAGGACAACAAACGAGGGGCTGTGACAAACTGTTTCGTCGGAGTTTCACCGACTCATCAGGAGACTGAACCCTAACAGTCTGTAGAATCCCCTCACTGATTACACTGTAAGTGATAATCCACCTTAACCAAAATCAAAGTAGACTATCACTCACCCACTACAGTAGCCTAAGGACGTTTTTACTTAGTTTTTGACGTGATTGCGGCCACATACATCCACATCTGACTGTAAATGCGGTCAGATGCATTTACGATGGTGCTAGAGTGAGTTCGGCCTCAGCCGGTATAACCCCCTGAACTGTTGAAATGCAGACTCAAGCTCGAATCCAGATACCTTCAGATGAAGAGGAGAATAAATTTAAATCATTCTGAATTGCCTGGGGCCGGTCAGTTCAATGATGATATCTAAAGGCCGTCGCCCTTCAAAAAAAAAAAACAAAAAAAAAAGGCAGGGTTGTTTCGTCTGTGTGTGATGATCTTCAGAGTCACCCCGAATGGAGCGCATAGGCTGTGTAACGTTGTGCACGTTTGCATGGATGCGCATCTCCCCTCGCTTCCTCGAATAGACCGCATAGCCATCACCAGGAATGTATGAAAGGCAGGTTTGCGGTCAGATACATTCGTAGAATACTAAGCATATTAATTAAATACTAATGATACTTGATGCCCTTTTCTTTTCTTTTCTTTTCTTTTCTTTTCTTTTCTTTGCTTTGCTTTGCTTTGCTTTGCTTTGCTTTGCTTTTCTTTTTTTTTTCTTTTTTTTCTCCTTGTGCTCATTATTTTTATTCTTCCTATAGACTATACATAAACAGCCGGTTCTTTTTTTTTTTTTTTTTTTTTTTTCCAGACAGCCGTTTCAAGGTCGGAAATGGCAAAACTTTCGTCTTCATGAGAAGAGAACGCCCTGTCATCAGAGCAGCTGCGTATTTGGGTCACATTCCAGTCTACATACAGCGATAATGAACCGGGCGTTCATATTCTTGTGAAAGACCGTAGCCACCTCAGCATGCACGTGGATTTTCTCACCAACGGAGTTTTAATTTAAAGAAAAGAAAAAAAAAAAAACGAAAGCAAAAGGAAAGCAGAGCTAGACCCTACACGAAATTGTGCATGTTCAGAAGCCCTGAGATCCGATCTGTATTTGCGCCCCATTTCCGTCTACATTCAGCTTGTCAACACGATTTCAAAGAAGAATTTAAAGCCATGTTACAGTAGTAGTACATCATCCCCCTTCCGCTCATTACACTTTCAAATTTGACGTTCCTGGTCGCAATTTCAGCGTTTTCTGAACCGGAATCATCGTCAGCGCTTACCGGGATCCGACTACTCCTAACCGTTGGTTCCAACCAGCGGCTACAGGCTTGTACCTGGTCGCAGTTACTATCAAAAGTTCACTGGCGCCTACTGCGACCAGGTACCAGCCTGTAGCGGCCAGTGCACTTTGGATACAACTTAGGTTGGAATCTCCCCCACGATACTACAGTCTTCCCCCGAATACAACGTACAGTCATTATAGCTGAATTTAGACCCGAAGATGCACCAAATTCGCCAAAAATGACCGTGCGTTGTATTCGGGCCAAGACTGTAGCGGTGTCTGCTGCTCATATCAGCACCCCTACTACGTAGTAGTCTGAAGCGAGTTTTTTTCAAAAAAAAAAAAAAAAAAAAAAGGTTGGATAGCTTAGCATCTAGAGGGAGAATCTAAATGATGACTTGATCAAGTCATCATATATAAATATAAGGGGTAACTACACGGGGGTCACCAAAAAAATAAGTTTATAAATGCATTCCAAACAGCGTTTGGGCAGTTCAGTCACGGCCGCAGTTTGAAATGCAGTCCAAACTCCTGCTTGCGGAAAAGTCTCTCCGCTGTTTGAACCTGCATTTTAGTCAGCCGCGTGGGAGGGCCCTGTCTGACCGCAGAAGCCCTGGCACAGGCCTGGGGAAAAACCCATTTTCGGATGTATTATCCCGCTTTCGTGGTCGGATTCACTGGGGGAAATTGCCAGCTCGAAAATGTGCCCCCCGCCCACAGAGGGAGAGAGAGAGAGAGAGAGAGAGAGAGAGAGAGAGAGAGAGAGAGAGAGAGAGGCTCTCTCTGTCTGTGTGTGTGCACGGGCCCATTTCCCTGCGAGCATTTTCCCGAATGTATCCGACCATGAACTTGGGTTTATACATTCAAAAACAGAAGTTCACGTGGAGCTGGATTGTACTTCTGTTTTCGAATGTATAGTACCTCGTCTCATGGTCAGATACATTCGAGAAACTGCTTGTGTGAAATGTGCTCGGGCACCCACACAAACACACACACACACACACACACACAGAGAGAGAGAGAGAGAGAGAGAGAGAGAGAGAGGAAGGGGGGGKGGGGGAGGGGCACACGCTAAGTAGCTGTTTCCCGAATGTATCGGACCATGAAAGGTGGGATTATACACTCGAAAATAGAACTACAGTAGAGCATCAGGTGAACTACAGGCCCACGCTCACCGTCCTATACATTTGGGAAATGCTAGCGCGAAAATGCGCCCGCGCGGACAGAGAGAGAGAGAGAGAGAGAGAGAGAGAGAGAGAGAGAGAGAGAGAGTCTCTCTCCCTCTCCCTCTCCCTCTCCCGCGCGCGCGCGCTCTGTGTGTGTCTCTGCGCGGGCATATCGAAACAATTGAGCTCCGCCTGAACTTCCGCTTTTCACACTAGTGTCCTAGCGTGAAAATCTGCCCGCTGAGAGAGAGAGAGAGAGAGAGAGAGAGAGAGAGAGAGAGAGAGAGTGCCCTCTCTCTCTCTCTCTCTCTCTCTCTCTCTCTCTCTCTCTCTGCGCACGGGCACATTTTCGAGCTAGTAGTTTCCCCGAGTGTATAGGACCAGGAAAGCAGCAGAGTTTGAACCTGCATTTTTTTCGGCTGACTGAAAGGAAAGCAGCAAAAAAACACTACTAGTGGGTACTTCGTTTCTCTCCCTCTCCCTCCCCTTCCTCCCCCCACCTTTTTCAAAAAAAAAGAAAAAAACGAAAAAACAAAAGCAGTTGTTTCCCCGCCCCCTATATCCCTTCGTTCTCCCGTGTGTTTCTTTTTTTTTTTTTTTTTCCCGACTCATGCTGGACTGTAACCTCTGGAAGATGTCAGGCAATGTTTGCATCCAAACAGGGGGCTGGAAAAAAAAAAAAAAAAAAAAAGAGAGAGAAAAGGATAGAAGGACAGAAATATCCAGTTTGTGTTTAAAAGGACAGAGCTAACAGCGTTATAATTCGCCTGGGCATCTACACACGTCCAGCAGCAGGTGATGTAACTTGAGAGCCATCTTCTTCTTCTTCTTCTTCTTCTTCTTCTTCTTCTTCTTCTTCAATACAAAGACAACAACTAGGGCGACATCAAAAAATAAGTGAAAAAAAAGCCGACATCGATTTTGGGCCAAAATAGGGTCTTACTTTTTGAAAGAGAAAAAAAAAAAGGGTCACACCGCCGCAGAGGGAGAAAAGAGGGTCACGACGGCACAGACACACGTAAGCCGCGCGCGCACGCGAGAGAGAGAGAGAGAGAGAGAGAGAGAGAGAGAGAGAGAGAGAGAGAGAGAAAGGCGTACTTCTTCTTCTTGAATGCCAAGAAAACAATTAAGGTGACATCGATCTGGGGCCAAAAGAGGGAGAAAAGGGGTTCACACTGCCATAGACACACCTAAGCCGCGCGCGCGCGCGCGTGAGAGAGAGAGAGAGAGAGAGAGAGAGAGAGAGAGAGAGAGAGAGAGAGAGAGAGAGGCTCACTCGCGATGTCCGATGATGTACAGTTTCCGAGCTCCGAGGACTGTCATCCTCCGCCTCAATTAGCGAAATTGCAGTGCCTGCTCGTGACGCCACGTGGCGTATGTATGTGGACGGCTAACTGGTACATCTACATTAGCGTTTGTGCTGTCGTGGCGCTGGCGTGTACTCTTTGATCTCGCTTTGATCTGGCTTACAAGCCTTCGTGATCACCGGGGACGAGCTCCCACCAGCCAAGAAGATTGGAAGTAATGCCCGAGAATCTGGACGTGTTTGTGGAGCGGTGCAGAAAATCGCGATTGATCTGCTTCTCTGCATCTCTGCGTAAAATCCCACCCGTGCAGAAAATCGCGATTGATCTGCTTCTCTGCATCTCTGCGTAAAATCCCACCCAGATTCATGCGCTGAATCCAATCGTATTTGCTAGTAGGACCGCGCCGCTGTAGGCAGGCTGAGCGCTGCCCTGCGAAAATGAGGGAACACTCACACAGGCCCTCAAAATAGCAAAATCACAAAATCACAAAATGAGCGGCCAGATCTACCGGTAGTCCTTCCTTTAGGGCATACGCACACTGACCCCAAATCGGGGAGGGGGCCTATTTGAGGTTTAGGGCATGGTTCAAGTCACACTGCTGTGCCTTTTTTTTTTTTTTTTTTTAACTGTACATTTTTTAATTTTTTTTAAAAGACTATACTCTTCTCTCAATTTTTCCTCACACTACCTACCTACCACTACTACTACTTATAGGCATACGGGGAAACCCGTAGCATACCAGAGCCCTGTTTTTACAGCCCCTCGAGCCTGCAGGATACCGGCCAGGGGACGGCCAGTAGCACCAGGGATAAAGCAACCAATCCCCCGTGCCTCCCCTCAGGCCCCTCCCCTACGAACATAGCAGACTCTGCTTGATGCCGATCCGGGGATCCAGTGGTCTATCGGGGGATCCAGTGGTCTATCTCTTGGGTAGCGGGTGCCAAGTAAGCCCAGGAAGGTCATGAGGCCAATGGGGATTGAACCCATGACCTCCTGAATGCCACTTGAGAGCCTTACCAACTGAGCTAGGCCGCTGGATAACTGTACATTTTCAGATGGGACGAGGTTGCGGCCGTCTGGAGAAATGGGGATGGGGATTTGGGGTACTTGGCTGGTCACAGGGGGCCATCCACAAATTGTGCAAGAACTTTTGTGAACAAATTTTTGTCAAATTTTTCAAAAAATGCAAAAAACAAAATGGGCACACCAACGGTACATTTGGTACTTTGGCAAATCTGTGGGATCGGCCCCCAACCTTTTTTCGGGGGGGGGATTTGGGATTGTAGGTCCCAGTGTGAGTATGCCCTTACAAGAGCTCATTTTGTGATTTTGCAAGTTTAAGGGCCTAGTGTGACGGCGTACTCACACAGCGGTCGCATAGCAGCAAAATCTGCAAAGAACTTTGCTATCTCGATTTTGCTGAAATGCAACCCCACCCTGTCACATAGTGGCAGCAAATCACAAAAGACAGGAGCCGGACTTTCTGGCAATTGCCAAAATGGCAAAATGGTGCCTTGCGCCGTGGCGCAGCGCAAGACCCAAATCCTTACAAGTTTTCTTTTTCAACAAAGTGCGTTTCGAATTCAAGTTTCCTTTCACGAATTCTCGAACCGAAAATAAAAATAAAAATGTTACAACCTCCACAGGGGCGAGGTCCCATTGGCAGTGGGATAGGAGTGTGGCCTATCCAGTGTGACACTGAGTGGCGGCGGCAAGACAGGTTCATTACGACTCTGAAACTGATTACTCGAAGACCTCGCTGCAAGATGGGGAACACCAGGATGGGAGTTGGACCTCCGACTCAGATTTTGAGTGGGATCTGCCTATGTTAATGAGCACAGCCATTAGACGCAAACAACCACTGCAACAAGCGACAGCTCACCCACCTCCATCAGACACCAGGGACACTGACTGGGGGCTGCCTCTCAAACGGGTCCTCTTCGCTGACTGTATGTCCTCAACTGCAACGGCTTCCCCGAGAGACGCAGCAAATGACGGCGTGGTGATTCTTCCAATCAGAAGAACAAACCTGGACGAACAATGGCAATTGGGCCTTCGATTGACCACCCCGCGAGTCCCCAGACTAGCGAATCGCACACTCAAAGGGACGCAGGACGCCCCCATGGGGCTTACGTTACAGGGATGGAGAGGTCCAAATCCACACAGGTTGACCCGCCACATGCTGAGAAATCATATAATCCAGCAGGGGGACCTGGGAGCCATTGGAACAGTCCTCCCGCAGGGGCTCCCGCTCCCCCAAAATGTCACACCAGTTTTTGTTCTCTTCGGGCAAAACCAACAGCAAGAAGGACATGACAACTAGCTAATCTGGCTGTCCCAACAACAGCTGTTGAATACCCCTGTTTCACGAATGCGCACAAACAATGCATGGTCTGCGGACGACCAGATCCTCTTCCTCCAATGCTTGTTTGAAGACGAGACGCTGGACACCAGTAGAACATGGGAAGATCCCCCGTTCGTGGCCAGCTTGTCTGCTGGAGCGGCTGGGAACGATTAGACAATCAGCCAATGTCGCAGCAGCAACAACACGCAGGGATGATAAGAGTTCGGGGAGGGGTGGATGACGACGCCCTTCCAGAGGGGGCTGGTAATGAGCATCAGCAGGGTCCCACCGATCAGCCAGATCCAGTCTGCCCCAGTCCCTCTCGCCCCCCCCCACCGCTCCGTCGCCAACCGGCGTGGGCACAAAAGCTTGGAGAAGCTGACTTGGACATTCGTTCAGTGAATGTAAATGGCCTATCGCAGACAAGTGAACAGAAAACTGGAGCGCTTTGGAACCTAATAACGAGGGACATGAGAGGCAAATGGCCAGATGCCATTGCGGTGCAGGAAACACACCTCACAGCCTCTCCTACACATCAAGCCCGTGCACACCAAATCTGGCCACATATATCGTTTGTCGCCCCAGCCAAATCTGTGGCCTCGTCGGGCGTGGCCATTTGGCTACCCCCTACATCTAGACTAATACCAATACAGTCATGTTGGGATCAAGTAGAAGGCAAATGGGTGTGGCTAAAAGCATCCTTCGAGGCAGAGCAAATCTGCCTCGTTAGTGTTTACGCCCCCAATGACCCGGCCCACCGGGTGCTGTTGTTTAACAGCCTGCTACATGAGCTACCGAGGAATGCTCCCATTATTATGATGGGGTACTTCAATACCACGCCGGATCCTAACTTAGGCAGGAGGTCATCATCTCAACAGGACGGCCTCAGGGAAAGAGGCCAGGACAGTCTGGCTCTAGAGCATATGATGACAGACTTAGGACTGCTGGACTCCTATAGATATCTCCACCCGACCAAAAGAGCATACACATGTGTGCGCTCAAGAGGCCAGAGGGGGGTTATCGAACTCACGCATAGACCTGACCCTGGTGTCAGAGGATCTGTCGGGCCTACTCACAGTGGCTGACATCCTCCCGTTCTCTCCATGTGCTTCCTTTGACCACCGCATGATCGCCATTGGTCTTTCATTTCACACCCACATTGCTAAAGGCCCCAGTTTTTTCAAGTTCAATTCATCCCTCCTCAACAAACCATCATTGGAAAAACTGGTGAAGGACTTCTGGGGCTTCTGGACCACAACCAAACCGCAGGAAGGCTCTACAGTCGACTGGTTCAATGACGGGGTAGCCCAACTTAGGGAAATAGTTAAAAAACTCTCCATCCAAATAGCACGAGACCGTAAGGCGGTTATGGACCGCTTGCTGCTCCAACTGGAGGAATGGGATAATAATTTGATGGAGAACCCCTTGGACCTTCCCACGTATGAGGCACTCTAAAGAGCAAGGGCCCAATTACAAGATTACCTTGATAATCAGGCCAAAAAATGGGGAATCCAAGCGAAGATAAAAAAAGAGGCAGCTGAGGGCATGATGACCAAGACCTTTTTCAACAAAGCAAAGGCAAGGGCTAGACAAAATGTGGTGCCATCCTTAAGACATTCTTTCGATGATACCCAACCAAAGGCTACAAACCCCTATCAAATTGTTGATTATGCCTCGACCTACTATAACCACTTGTTCACCTCAGAGACAAGCCACAGACAACCTCAGACATTGGAAGGGGCGAGAGAGGCACTTTTACATGCCCTCCCCTCCCAGCTGTCAACACAACAAAGACATCCCTTGGACAACCCTCTCACCCCAACAGAGCTCCTGCAAGCACTGCAAGATATGGACAACGAAAAAAAAACGGGTCTGGACAACTTTCCCAAAGAATTTTGGCTTTATTTTTGGGGAATTTTTAAGAATGACTTCCTGGGTATGTAAATGCAGTGTTTCATGAGGAAACGTTTGGGGAGATGATGGGCCAAGGCGCGACCACCTTGCTGTATAAAAAGGGAGACAAAGAGGAGATAAGAAATTACCGCCCGATAACCCTCTTGCCGATCCCCTACAAAATAGTTGCTAAAGCATGGGCGAACAGGCTGCTCCCGACCCTGACGCAATTAGTACACCCGGATCAGTCCAGCTTTATGCCCAACAGAAACATATAAGACAATATTTTGCTGGTCAATGAGACCATCCAATATGCACGCCAAAGGAAGGTCGACGCCGCCATACTCTTCATCTATTTTGAAAAAAACGTATGACCATGTCGACTGTAACTTTCTGGAACTGTGTTTAAATAAAATGCAGTTTGGCCCGCGCTTTTGCAAATGGGTCAACATCTTCCATAGAACGGCCTCCACCAACATCATGCTTAATGGTCACCTAGCCGCCCCGTTTCGCCTTCAACGTTCGGTGAGACAAGGAGACCCCATTGCACCAATGTTATTTGTCCTTGTAATGGAGGCCTTGGCGACAATGATAAGATCGAACCCGCTCATCCAAAAAATCCGTGTGCCTGAGATTCCGACACACCTTATCCCCACAACATCTTTATTCGCTAACGATCTCACAGTCATGTTTATAGCCAATGAACAAAGCTTCCAAGCACTAACACACACCATACGACTGTTTGAGACCGCAGCAGACATGAAGGTTAACTGGGGGACCAAAACGAAAGGTTGGTGGCTCAACTGCCACTATGCCCAACCGCCGATTGAACCTCCGGTAGAGTGGAAGGAAAAAAATGCAGCCATAACTGTGCTAGGATTCAACATCACAGCTCTTGGCATGCCGCCAAA